TTGGAGTTAGTTCTAGTTGCCTAGCTTGGTGCTTCGTGAACAGTAAACAGAAATATTTGCCTAGTTCAGTTGTGTTTGAACTGCATGGAGAGCATCATGACTAAATTCAGAGAATCTGTGGGTCAAGGGCCTCAAGCTTCACATTAGAAGTTTGCCACATATGAGGGTGAGAGAGACTTGTCACCATCAGGGCAGGCTGACATGCAGGGAAAAATAAAGGTGGGGGAGGGGTACACTGGAGAGACCCCGAAAGCTGTGACAAGAAATATCAGTCCTAATCCTGTGGATGGGACCTGCTCTACCAGTTTGGAGGGTTTCCTAGCCCTTCTGTGGCCTTGGCAGCCCCCCACCCGGTGTCCCTCCAGGAGAGGGACAGCTGATATTCTGCCTTCTCTGTGGTGCCCATATGCTCTACCTCTCTGTAGCTGCATTACATTTTTGGGAAGAAAGAAGTTGTGGATAAGAGTTTAAGGAAAGTCACAAAATAGTTGATAAGTAGCCCAGGGAAGGCTGAGACAGGAAGCGCATTTTGGAGACGGGGGGGGGGGGCAGCTGTGGAGAGCTTAGGGCACCCAGATGGTGAGAATGGTAGAAAAATCCCAGAAAGCAGGGGGAAGCCTCATTGAGCTCAGTATAGCATTAAATTAAAATTTAAATAAAAGATGTGACTCCCATCAAAAAGGCCTGGATAGGTTGCAACAGAGGGATAGCGACCCCCTTCCACACAGGAAAGCAGACGGAGCTCTACAAAGGCAGGAAGGGGAGCTTCCTGTTTCCATAGATGTGGAAGGCTGGGGACTGGGGCCTGCCACTGGTGGAGGTGAAGGGTTTCTTTTCCTACCTCCTGAGGGGGCTTCAGTGCCCCTCAGGGTCTGAGGCAGTATCCCAGCCCTGCCCTGTCCTGTGCATAGGAACTGGGTAGTGAGATGGGACAGTACTCCCCACAAGCCTCTCCTTGGCTGGAGTTTGAGCCTTGGTCCCTGCTGCTTTTTTTTTTTTTTTTTGGTGGTGCTTAGAATCAAACCCAGGACCTCGCGCTTGCTAGGCAAGCACTCTACCATTAAGCTACATTCCCAGCCCTTTTTATTTTTATTTTTTATTTTGAGACAGTTATCTTGCTAAGTTGCCCAGGCTGTTCACAATCTTGAGATCCTCCTGCCTCAGCCTCCTGAGTCAGTGGGATATCTTTTTAAGGGGTTCCATGAAGAGTTTGGCTTACTCCAAGCATGATGTGCACATCTGTAATCCTAGCTATTTGGAGAGGCTGAGGCAGGAGGATCACAAAATCAAGACCAATCTGGGCAACTTAGGAAGATACTGCCTCAAAATAAAAAAAACAAAAAGGAGATGTAGCTCCATGGTAGAGGGTTCCTGAGTTCAAACTCCGTACCATGGGGGCAGGGGGAAGATGCCATGTGGGTCACTAGCATGCTTTGCTTGACCAGAGTTTCTGGTCTGAGTCCAGGGAAGCCATGGTCCACCCCCTCTTCCTCTGCAGCCTCTTTGCTCATAGCCTGATCAGGAAGTGATTCCTGCCTTTACTCTTTCCCTCCATGGTCTTATGGGTCTACCTCGAACCACATCCAGACTGACCTCTGGAAAACCCCGCTTGGCATTCCTGCCTTCTCCCTATTCCCAGCCCCACTTTATGCTCTGATAGTACCCACTGCCCATGGATTTAGATTCAATGCCTTATCTGAGCTTTATGATACTGGAGAGTATCATACGGCAGAGTACTAGCCTGGGAAAAGATCCAAATTCAAAATTTGAGGTGTGATTTTTACTGAATGGGTCACTTTCACACCATCATAAACCTGAGATATTGTAACCCGAACACTGTAGGTTGCTGACCGTCTGTATTCTATCCAACTGGAAATGCATTCTGGTTAAGATCCGTGTCTTGCACATTTGAAACATTGGGGCATGCACATGAATAGTTTCTCAACAGATGTTAGAATCTGATCATTGTCACAGCTAACTCAAGGCATGGGGACACAGAACACAGAACACTGATAGGCATTTCTTATTCAGATATGGCAGGTCCTGGGGGCTTAGGGACAATAGGAAAGCAATAGAATTGGGGCTGAAAGAGGACTCAAAAGAGGCAGCCTCACATCTGGGGGCCTGGAACTCTACCAACGAATTGGGGATAGACAGGAGTCATAGGCAGTGACTCATTGATAGCTGCAGATCAGAATCCCAGGGTGTGGGCTTGGGCAGCAGGAACTGGCTGAGATAGTAGGCTGTAGCCGGCCAGACCTTGGCATTGTGGTGGTTTTCTATGGAATACTATGGCAAGGGACCTCTATGCATACACCCACAGCAGGGCTGGGCAGTTGGCACTGCCACAGGTTTCAGCCAGTGGGAGGGAATTACCCACCAGTGCCAGAGATGTGGGTGGACAGGTACTCCAAGACAGCTAGTGCCCTGGCTCCTGAGTCTCCCTCAGGCACATCTCGGTCCAGCATGCATGGCAAAACCTGCCCACCTGGGGACTGGGCCCACCTGCTGCAGCAATCAGTCTTAGGCTACCTCTTTCTAGCCAAGCCCTCAAGTGGCAGGAGGTTTCCTGAGGCTCCTTAGAGCCAGGGTAGCTCCCAGCTATGGGCCCTGCAGTCTGGCTGCAGGCCTCTGGTGACATGCTGCCTGTTGCCTGTTCTGCCTTCTGCATGTCTGTACTGCATCCTGCTCCTTTTGTTTCTACCTCTGGCCAAACCAACTTTGTCTTCTCTGTCATCTCCCCGGACCAAGTGCCTCTGAGGGTCACCAAGAAAGCATGTATGAGCCATCGTGGCTGCCCAATAAACTGGCTTCAAATAGCTTGCTTAAGCTCTCTGGGGACACTTAGTCTCCGTGGCTCTTGCTCCCCCAGTGCTGTGCCACATAGTTCCAGCTGTGCCCAGGGAGAGGCTGTCACTCAGTGGTCAGGAGTGCATGGTTATTTTTAGGCACTTGTTGTCCAGAGCAGCCACCTCCCTGAGGGTCCCCAGTCTACCCTCTTCACCTTCTTGGGCTAATAGATACTGCCTGTACCTCGGTTTTCTTCACCCACCTTTCTCTCTCTCTCTCTCTCCCTCCCTCTCTCTCTTTTCTTTCCTTCCTTCCTTCCTTCCTTCCTTCCTTCCTTCTTCTCTCTGTCTCTTCTTTCATCTTTCTTCCCCTTTTTCTGATGGTAAGAATCAAACCCAGGACTTCACACTTATTAGGCAAGGGCCCTTCCCTACCCCTAAGTGACATCCCCAGCCTGTCTCCCTTGGTTTTCTTAAGGAAAGATGCTTTTGACTGGAGTGTCTTGGAATAGACTTCTGTCTGTAGCAGAACAGGCAGCAGGGAGTAATAGAATATTCTAGAGGGAAGTTACATGTGCTAAGTTTAGGGTGGGTTCTCCTAGGAGTGGAGTTGGGGGATGACTGGACTGGTACCCATAGGGTTCTGTCCAAAGCTCCTGCTTTTATCCTGACTCCAGAGAGACTCGACAGAACTGAGACTGGGTGACAATCCAACCCCCAGAGTTGCAATCCTTGCAACTCTCCTTATTTTGCTCACCTTTTGCGTGGTGATCTTACTTGATTGCAGTGTGTTGAAGTGAAAAGTACTGGTGATGACAGAGAGGATGGCATTCTGGAGGTCACTTCTCAGGTACTACAGTTTCCACATCAGCGTAATGGGCATAATAAAAACCCACCCCATCTATGTTGCAGGGACGCTGTGAAAATCCACCCTCATACCTATGGATGATGCATGGAGAACGAGAGGGGCTGCTCCACTTCCAAAATGCCCTCTGGTTTCTGGAAGGGGGTCCAGAGACTGTCCAACACCAGAAAGCAGAAGCAAGAACAAAGGACAGGCAGTTTGTGTAGCTCGGTGATGGGGCTGCACTCAGGGGATGAAAGCTGCTTTGGGTCTGGGAAGACAGAGATGGCCTTGAGGGATTGCAATGCTAATACCTCCAGAGCCCTTCTGCCCACCCTCTGACATTACCAAGGTTACCTGTTTACAGGGAACAGTTCCTGCAAAAAGGCTATTAATGAAGCACCTCCAGGGTGACCCTTCTTCTGCCCATTTTCTCTGACCTTTTGGTTCATCCCCTGGCAGCTTTATGTACTCAGGATGGGGAGAGGAAAGAGGCAAGATAAGGGGAAGGAGGGCAGGAGAACCAAGAAAATCTAACATGTACAAAAGGGGCAGGCCACCCTCACTTCTTTGGATACCAACTCTGGGTCGGTCCCTTTCTTCCTCCCAGGAGAAATCTCTTTTTATTCTTTAAGTAAAACTTGATTTCTATGCCTGCCTGGGCATTTCTCGAGGTTCAATCTTCACATCTGGGGAAATGGAACTCAGAGTTGCTGGTATCATAGCAGCCCGCTAGCTGATGGTGCATGTCACTTCTTCATTTTTCTGGTGTGATCATGCCTCGGGGTCTCACCTGCCAGCCTTGGAGGGCAGGTGGGAGGAGCCCCAGCAAGGTAGGAATTCCTAGTAAGGGTTCTAGCTGCCATTGCCTTCAGAGCAGAACTTGCCCTAGTTCACACAACAAACAAACAAAACCCATCTCAGTGGGGGTGCTAAAAGCTGATCCCCTGACAGAAGTGAGGAGAGGAATTAAGGCCAGAGCACCCTCCCATTGTACATGGTCTGTGTGAGGCCTCTGTGGCATCAAGCATGTGACGTTCCTGAGATCAGTGGCTGCAGCCCCTTGGAGGTGCTCCTGGCTTCCCTTCCCTCTGTCCCCAGCACGGGGTGCTCAGGCCAGGCAGATTGCTGAGATGGCATCCTGGAGCCAGCCAGCCTACTGCCAGCTGTTGTCTCCCTTCCAACTCAGCATCTCCAGGTGGGGACACTAACAAAAGAGGCAGGGCTACTCCCTAATCTGCAGGCTTAGGCGGGGAGCTCCGGGGCACAGGGGCATGGGTGGAGACAGCTGCAGACTGCAGCCTGTCTTTCATGTGCGGAGCTGGGGACCTGCAAGAAATTTGTTCTGTGCCTGCTGCCAAATTTCCTCAAAGAACAATGAAAGCGAAGATGCTGTTTTGCAGTCCAGGAAGCTGGAAGGGGTGTGGTGGAGCAAGTCTCGGGAAGGTCAGGCAGACCACCGCGGGGAGGCTGCCTCCCCCTGGGGAGCAGGCGTCCTGAGACTGTGCCTTGCCCAGGCCCAGGCTCCTCTTTGAGGCCTGGAGTGGGGATCATGGCTCTGAGAGCATCGGGCAGGTTGTAGGAAGTGGAGCTCCAGCAGAGAGGAGCTGGCTTCTTCTTCCCAGTGTGGTTTTCACACAGTAACTTGGAGGTGAGTTTTGGGCATTGCTGCGACAGCTAAAGGCCATTGACATCATCACAATGCATCTTGGTTCCTTCAGGATTTTCGGGAAGACACATGGTGTCTGCCTTCTAGAGGATTCTAGTCTGTTTGGAAAATACCCGTGTACACAACAGAGTGACAGGTGGGTGACAACAGAGTGACAGGTGGGCGGTGGGCTGAGACCATGGACGCTGGTGCTCACTGCCTGGTCTGTATGCTGATTGGCTACTTGCTGACTATGCACTGAACCTCAGTTTCCACCTCTGAAAATGGAGATGAACACCAGTACCTACTGTATGGAGCTGTTATGAGGATTAAATGACGCATAGTTTGCAGTAGAATGGCATCTGGCATCAGATGCTTGAGTGTTTGCAGAATAAATAACACGCAAGTAAAATTGAAAATGTGGGTCAAGACAAACAGGAAGAGACCACATTTAGGTTTTAAGAGGAGGTTTGGCAGTTTTCCATCGTGGGTGTTGTCTTTTATGCACGGTTTCTGTTACTTCCAATCTGTTTTAGGTTTGCGGGGAAGGCAAATGGGAAAGAATGTGATTCTGAAACGTACAAAGCTTGGAAAGACCCCACCTTGCCTGACTGAGAGCCACTGTCCTAGAGATGATGGCTGCATTCTTGCAAAGCATGGTGCCAATCCATTCCCAGACAAGTTCATGTGAATGGGAAGCTCCCAGTCTCTCCTGAAATCAGTGCTACTGTGTTGACAAGGAGAAGTTAGAAATAAGACTTGGCCAAGGTCCCAGAGCCGGAAGAAGTCCCAGGTCATGTGTTGGACATTCTACCAACACATCTTCCAGGGTTTGAACTAAAGCAGGCTTTTTCTCCTCTGGACAAGTAGATGTTTATAGAATGTTCCATCGTCCCTGGGATATGCCCTGGTGAGAAGAAGAAGGGGTCTGTAGCTAAGCAGGAAGTCAGAGTGCCGGGTTTCCGTGGCTCCAGCTTTGCTGGTGAGGATTTGCTGGAGGAAGACGTGCTTCCCCAGAGCCACAGGTCCTCAGAAAACCAGATCCTGAGGACCAGCCAGCAGAGGATCCGACCTCTCCACAGGAAGTCTCTCCAAGGGCCACAGGAGCAACATGGTGCCTGTAGCTTCAGGCTGTCCTGGGAAGAGGGCTACTGGTCCTTCTTACTCATAGCCCCACGGGAAGTGGCCAGACAGCCTAATGACACTGAGGACTTTGAGTATTTGACTTTGAGACTTGTCAGGCAGAGTCTAGAGGACTCCAGACGATTTCAATTTTGCTCAGCAACATTTTGAAAGCACACAGCTGAGTCAGTAACACCAGTAGCAACCACTACAAGGATTTACTTCCTCTTGTGAGTGCTTTACTAACTCATTTCTCATCAAAACCGGAGGAAGGAGGTAATCTTAGTGTCTCCATTGCATAGACAGGCAACCCACACCCAGAGGGGTTAAGTAACTTTCTCAAGGACACAGAGCTTATAAAATAATAGAGCTAAGATTCAAACCCAGATAGTTTGGCTCTAGAAAATCTTGCTCTTGACTACAGTATACAGGCCCTGAGTTATGTAAGTACATATGCTTTAAACACAATATGGGAAACAGTTAAAAATGGCACTGCTCAGCTTTGCTTCTGAGACCTATACAATTTACTTAAGGGGTTCCTAGTCACTAGACAAAGTAGCGGGGTACAGATGATAACCAAGCAACAAATGCATTATTCCAATTGCATCTGCTTTCTGGACTTTAGGTTCCGGTGGGGTCACACCCACCAAGTTTCCCTGTAATACACTTTTTACAGTGGTTGCTGTCAGCCCACAGTTCCACGCTAATGAGGTCTTTTTTATGAACAGTGGTTTTGTCATCTGAAGTACATTCGCTGTCCCTTGAAGCTCTGGGGCATCTGCAGATCTGATCAGCAGGTTTCCACTCAGGTCACTGCATGAAGCAATCCAGTGCTCCCGGGGCTGTGATTTAATCAGCTGCAGGCTCATCCCACTGCCGGGCCCCCAAGCTTGTCATAGGGAACTTCCATAGTCCAGGTTCCTCCTCAGCGTTGCTCTGAGCTGACCCGTCCCCATCCTCACCTTTCCTCCCAAATTCTGTTCTCTCCCCTTATTTGGTATGTGTGTGGGTGTCCTTGGGGACAGGTTCTGCAACCAGAGCTGTTTGGCCTGCATTCCTCCTATTGTCCTCAAAACCGGCCAAGCAGAACAAACCTGCCTGAGATTCCCATTACAACGCCTGCTTTGGGAGTCCAGGGGCCAGCTGCAGTGGTCACCAGGGCAACCAGTGGTGCAGAAAAGGATAACAAAAAAGAGCCTAGAGGCTCTTGACCGATCCTTCAGGAGTCAAGGAGTTGAGGGGAGGGCTGGAGGTCGGCTGTGAGAGAAGGTTGTTATTCAGGGGTGATTGTTCCAAATGTCAATTGTGAATCCCTTTTGCCACCCTCTGGGGCCTGGCTAGCCCCCATCCAGCACCCCACTGTGCACTACCAGTATGTGCCTTCTATGTGTCTGCTTCGTCAGGGGTCCACTTGGCCCTTTAGAGCCTTTTCTTTTTTTGTGTGTGTTCCCGCCTCACACTTGACTGTCTTCAATCTCTCCCTCCCTTTCTCTCATCCTGCGCTGGGGATTCCTTTTCCTCTCCTTTCCCACATGTCAGAGTATCAGCATCAAAAGACTGAAAAAATTAAAAAAAAAATAAGTAAAATTGAAAATAAGGCCAGAGGAGGGGTCTGATGGTCTGAAGATGGGCTATTGGCAGATCTATCCCACAGCCTCTGCCTCAACCTCTAAATGGCAAAGGCAGTATCTTTGGCCTGTTCAGACCATGTCTCTGGGTGATGATTTTGTGAGGAGTCCTGTGGTGGATTCCTTTCCAGTTGCTCATTGTATAACTGTTGCTGTTACATTCTGGAGAACCAGAGGGGGGTGTTTTTGCTTCAAAGACTGAGACTTAGGGCCGAGCCTTTTCTTTTCTCCATGTGCCCCTTACCGTCCCTGTCCCTGTCCAGGGAAGCCCTGTCTCAGGGTGCCAACCATCCCGCGGTGCCTGACCCTAGCTGTCTAACCTCATAGGGAATCCTCTGTGGGGTTTAGACTCTCATAACTCACTTGCCCAAGCACAGGCTTAAAACATGACCTTGCTTTTTTTTAAAATATATTTTTTAGTTGTTGATGGACCTTGATTTTATTTATTTATATGTGGTGCTGAGAATCGAACCCAGTGCCTCATATATGCTAGGCAAGTGCTCTACCACTGAGCCACAACCCCATCCCATGACCTAGCTTTTTATAGGTACTCTTCTTCTCATTCCCACCCCATTTGCAGGCTTTTTTCCTGATTCCTTGAAGTTAAAATACTTTTTGTTAACTTTATATTTCTCAAAATATCCTGATCAGGAGAATCACTCAGAAACTTGTGTTTAGAATACAGATTTTTTTCCCACCTCAGATAGAGCAAATAAAACGCTGGTGTTTTGGAAAAATCACCCCAAGCGATGCTCTTGTTTGGGCAAGTTTGGGGAATGTAGCCCAGGGGATGCCTTTCCCTTCTCAGGTTTATCTCCTTATTGTTCTCACTGACCTCAGGTCACCCTTTCAACTGCAGTGTGGCACTGATCCTCACAAAGCTTTGCCAGCCTGCCCACAAATTGGCTGGGTCAGGGGGGCCCTGGTGAAGTCACAAGTGTCTCATGCTGGCCCCGTTGACCCTGCTTTGCCTCCTCTCCAATGTTGTCAGACCTGGGGTCATCCCCTGGTGCCCTTGGCCTGCCATGCTATGGATACTCTGTCTGTGCTGATCAGCTCACAGAAACCTGAGCTCCAGGAGGAGTCGGTGGGAGAACTCCAGCCTGTGCAGCCTACCAGGTGCCTCACACCTCCTGGTTGCAAGAGCTGGACACTGTTGTGTCACCAACCTCCAAATCCTATGGCGCAAAAGTATCTCATTGTGCTCATGGCTTTTGTTAGGAATTCAGAAATGGTTTGTGTCTGCTCTGAACTTTGGGACCTCAGCCAGGGACACTTAAATGGTTTGGGGTGACTAGAATGGCTGCAGGCAAATCCCAGCCTGTCCTTTGTGGGTGCACCAGAAGCCTTAGCTGGGAAGACTCCCAGGTTGGGCTCAGCTGGAATGGTGAATTCAAACGCCCACATGTGGCCCCTCCATGTTGCTTGGACTCCCCCAAATCATGACAGTCCCCAGGTGCTTTAGGACTCCTGAGTGAGCATTCTAGTGGCCAAGTGGAAGCCACATGGCCTTTTACCTCTTTGCCTCAATGCCGCAGTGTCACTTTCTCCATTGTTTAAAACAGCTGCAAATCCACTCGGATTGAGGGATGTAGGCCCAGATCTCAACTGGAGGAGAGCAGAAGAATTCAAGGCCATGTTTTACATCTGCCACAGGAAGAAAGAGCCGTGACAGCTAAATGGAATACATGGAGCTGGGTTGGGACCTGGACTAAGAAACAAAGTAGCTCTAAGAGACATTATTGGGATAGTGGGAGAAATTTAAATATAGGTCATAGGTTAGATAATAGTATGGTATCAATACTGAAATTCATAATTTTTGAAAATGCAATTTGTAATTTTGATAATTGTGTTGTGGTTGTGAGAGAGAAACATACCCTCCTCCACGCACAAGGAAGAAGGTACCTATATAGAGAATGACAAGGCTAATGGGCAAATGTAACCAATTAGTGAGTTTAGGTGAAAGTATATGGAATTCTTCTAACTTCATGTAACTTTTCTGTAATTTTGAAATTATCTTAAAATGAAAAGTTACCAAAAAAAAAAAAAGTCACCAAAACAGAAACTTTCTGGAAAGTTCTCTTAAATGTGTTGAAGATGACCTGTGGTCCTTGAATGCACCTTCCCTGGGGCAGATGCCCTCTCTCTCCTTCTCGCTGCTTTAGTTGGGGGTGGGGGTGCTCTGGTCACAGCATGTGTACTTCCTCCCTGGGCTCATGGGCCAGCTACTGCCCTTGTGGGGACACTGTAAAA